TTTAACACGAGATATATTTAATTGTTAATGTATTTCTTTTAGCAATTATATTTTTAATATTTGCTTTAACACGCACATTTATTTTAAATATTATAGATTGAGTTTTTTTATATTTTATTTACCTAGTAAATATTTAAAATTATTTTATTTAGTAAAAGAAAGGCATTCTTCAATACAATAGGCAATATCCGAACAATAGTTATCCACCTCTCCGAAGGGAATTATTGGTAGATGAAGATAGTATAGAGGTTGTGGGCGTTTAAGAGGGCCATTATAGAGATTTAAACTGAATATCGTGTATTGGTGACTCGGAAATAGTAATTTGAAGTTTATCCTTACTCATGTTATCTTCAATAAAAAATCCCCAAACTTCTTTAATTATTTTTATACCGTTTAAAATAAATTAATAAATCTTTTTTTAATTAGATAAACGTGAACAACAATCCCACCAAAATCAACAACAACGTTTACCATTAAGAGCATTTAAGGTCCTCAAAAAACTTTTAAAAATAATTTTAAATAAAAATGACAACTGCTTATGAATTCAAGAAAATTGGACGTGTTGGAACTCTTCCAGCAATGGCACATTCTAGTGCTCCTCATGCTGGGTTGCAAATGGCTATTAGTGGAAATGAACAAACACAGCAACCACAAGTGGAGTTTTTTGTTGTTAATCTTTTAAATATTAAAGAAAGGAATAAAAATGGATAAATACCTTATTTAATGTAAACCCTACATACATCTTACACACTGACTTGACCCTATATACCTTTTTTTATAACAAACTCGATCTTATTTGAGTTAAGCTTCCCCCACACAAAACATGAACTCCAACAACTAAAATTACCCATTTCTATAAAAATTTAGTCGTTTCTAATGAGAGTATATTAAATAGAGGTCTTTCTTTAATTCTCAATTAAATTTTAAGCCAACACCAAATTCAGCATTAAGTAGCAGCCGTGCAGCAGCAGCTGCCGTATTTCATCAACGTTGGGGTGTTGGGAATAGTGCTAACCGTAGAGGAAGTCATTTAATTGGAGGTTGGGATAGTGCACGACCACATTCTGCTGCTCGACAACAACAACAAATGCTTGAAAGATTATATACAAAAGGGGAATTGAAAGTAATTGGGAGAAATTTTTTTTAAATTAACAAAAATTTAGTAGTTTCTGACAGACAAAAGTTTTATTTAAAATATTTTTGTAACCCAAATTCTCTGAAAAGATTACAAAAATTTATTTTAAATTTAAAAGGAATATCAACAATTATTTAAAATGTTTGATACAGACGGAAGTGGGGCTATTGGAAGTGAAGAATTAAAAGGAGCAATGTTGAGAGTAAAATTAAATTTGTTTTAAAAAATAAATAATTTTTAAAAGATTGGATTGGAGGCAGATGATGCAGAAATTGAACGTTTAATTAAAGAAGTAAAATTAAATTTATTTTAAATAAATTATTTTGACTGTTAATCGTTAAGAAACATATTTTAATAATTCTTTAAATAATTTCTAAAAAATACAAAGGTGGATGAAGATGGAAATGGGGAAATTGACTTTCCAGAATTTTGTCAATGTATGAAAACAGCTGAAAGACAAGGAGGTTTTCGTCAACGTCCAACAAATGATGAAGTTGTTAGGCAATGTTTTGAGGCAAAAAACAATTTTTAAATAAAATAAAAATAAATTTTTAGGTTTTTGATCAAGACAAGAATGGTCTAATATCTGAAAATGAATTTATTGTGAGTTTAGGATTTTTTAATAAATTATTTTTTTAGTATGTTGCCAAAGAAATTGGTGGTTTCTCTCATGAATTGGCAGAATTTGTATTTCGAGAGCTTTTAGGAGATTCTTCGGCAGATCAATTAGATATGGATAGATTCTCTGCAATTGTTGAAGATTATTTACTTTCTGATAATAATAATGGAAATAATATAAAAGATAAGGAAGATGAAGAAGAAGAAAATTTAAATAATAAAATTAATGATGGAAATTTAATTAAAACAAAATTATTTTAATTAAATAAATATAAAATGATGGGTTCCGTCTTTTGATTCGGTCTTGCGTAGAATTTACTCTTTTTTGGCACTTCCCGCTTTCAATCTTTAGATGCGGAACTGCTCATTCCTAATAAAATATTTTTAATTAAATTAATCTTTAAATTACTTAAAATTAGAGTAAAATACTTGCCTGTTATCTCCCCATATTTTCCTTATCTACTTTCCTTTTTTGGATACCGTATATGATTATAGACTCCTATATATAACTCCTATATTAATTACCTTGGGTAATTAATAATAGGTGGGGGGGTCATTTTTTAACTAATAGATGGGGGTAATTATTTAAGGGAAAGTAATTATGGTAATTGATTCGAGCTGAATCGAATGATAATTCTGAATATATTGTAATTAAGACACAACGAAACTTCACTGAAAAAACTTTTTGTGCTTTCTCGGAGTGAATAATTTTCAAATAATTCTTTTAACTCCTATATGTACTTCAAATTATAATCTTTTTTGAATAATTGTGTGTCATAGGCAAATATTTGAAATGAGGGAGAACTTTCTCATACATATGTATTTTGAAATATTCATTGAATTGACCGACAGAACAACCTATTTAACATCCAACCCTTCATTTTTCCGCAGTTTCTCATCATAGTTAATGGTATTTAATGGTATTCAAATTGTGCCTAATTTTAATTTCTTTAACCTAATTTTAGATTACATAGTTTAACTTTCGATTTTAAGATGGATACTATTGTTTACAATTTTGGTATGACTGTTAATAGTCCTAAAAAGCTTCTGTTGTCTATGCCTGTAGACAAACTTCTATTGTCAAGTAATCTTGAATATTTTTTAAATTAATTAACTAAACTTTTCTCTCCATGTGACAAATTCTGTAATCCAAAAGTTCCATCAGTAGAATTTCAATTATGTGTGGAATTACTAAAAAACTCTAATAAAGTTAATATCTGGATTCAACAAATAGGGCCTATAAGCTTGAATTCTCTCTCAAAAACTAAATATAGAATTTGTGTAATTAAGGATGAGGCAGTCGTGGATATTGTAAAGTAAATATTTCCATTATCTTTTTCCTTTTCCCAAAAATTTTAATATTTTCTCCTGAAGTTCTGTAAATTTTGGAATTACTGTTTATTCGACCATTTGTTAATTAATTTAAATTTTATTAACAAGTAGGTTTTCTCACTTAACCAGAACCGCGGTCAACCCTGAAGACCTACACACCCAGGACCTACACCCTAAAGATCTACTCAAATTTTTTTATCAGTTATTAAAGGGGGAAAAAGACTTGTAGGGATTAATGGAATATCGTGTGGATCTTGAGGGATTAGGTAAATGAGATTTGGAAGGAGGAGGGATTAAAGCGGTTGGAGGGATTAACGGCGTGTAATGAAGGATTAAGGGGATATCAGGAGATTTTTGGATATTAGAAGATTAGGAGGAATATGAGTAGATTTTTTGGATATCAGTATATTATGGGGATAACAAAGATACCAGAAGATCCTTTTTATCCCTATAAACTCCTATTCCCTTTAAAACCTCAAAATTCACGACATTTCTTTACTCCCTCTTTATCCCTTCTTCAGGGTCAATAAGTCTAGATGGTGTAGGTCTTCTGGGTGGATTCCCCGAACTTATATTAATAAGTTAACGATTGGTTACCTATGAATGTTATGGAACACAAAAGTTCAAAAATAATACTAAGCCGAAAATTGAAAAAAATGTCTCAATTTTTATTTTAAAGATATACATACTATTTTGAGAACCAAGAGCGTCTGGGATTTCGTTCAATTTTAATGGACAAAAAAATAATCAGTTCTGACGGTAAGTTTTGGCAATAAATTAAATTTCTACTTTGATACTACATATTTACATATTAACTTGTTATAATTTAATTCCAGGTTCTGGAATCATAAAAATTCCAAAATTTTTTTAGGTTATAGATAAATTTTATATCTAACAAAGTTTGCAAGTATAGGATAAACTTACATATATTATTTATTAAAACTTTACAAACAAAAACTTTTCCTTATCTGAAAATTATTTTAGGAAATTTGAGGCTTGGCTGTAAAGTCGAAATTGACTGTCACAATTCATATGTTAAATTGCAAAATACTTATATGGACATGTTAAATGAGGAAATATTAACTGATTTTGTGAGTCCACCCCTGAAGACCTACACCCCCAAGACCTACACCCTGAGGACCTACACCCTGAAGACCTACTGACCCTGAAGACCTATTTACCCTGAAGACCTACAACTTTTTGATCAACACAATTTTTTACTTTTTATTTCTTTACAAGTCTAATCGGGGGATTTAAAGGGGATAAAGAGGAACTAGGAGGGATTAAGGGGGATATCGATGGATTTGAAGGTTTTAAATGGGATAAATGGGGATTAAGGGGGATACCGAGGATTTTGAGGTTTTAAAGTGGATAGAGGGATTTATCGATATAAAGAGGATCTTCTGATATCCTTGATATCTCCTACTATAAATAATTTGAGTTGATCAAAAAGTTGTAGGTCTTCAGGGTAAATAGGTCTTCAGGGTGTAGGTCTTCAGGGTCAGTAGGTCTTCAGGGTGTAGGTCCTCAGGGTGTAGGTCTTGGGGGTGTAGGTCTTCAGGGTTGACCCCGATTTTGTTATTAAAGTTTTTATTTGTTTTATTCAAAAACAAAAAAATATTTTTTAGGTTGGTGATGAACTTATAAAAACACATAAATGTATTTTGGCAAAGAATAGTAAAGTATTTTATACAATGTTTCAACAGAGTGGTATGACTGAAGCACAAAATGTAATTATAATATTTATCTCATTAAAATATTGTGGTTTAAAATAAATTTAGGGGGAAGTTATTCTTACTGATACAACACCTGAATGTGTTCGTGCAATGTTGGAGTTTTTCTATTCTGGAATGGTTTCTGATGGTTTTTAAGAAATAAACTACTTTTTGTAGAATGTTTTTAATTTAAAGATAAAATGAAAATCCATGTTTATGATATTTTTGCTATTGCCCATAAATATCAAGTAGAAATGCTAAAGTATTTGTGTGAAAATTTTATGTATCGCAATATTGGTGAGAGAAGTTTAACAGAAAGAATATTCCAAATATTTTTCTTTTAGATAATGAGAGTATTGTTAAATGTTGTGGGATTATTAACTTATATGGTGCTCCAACTTTGGAGAAGGTCCGTAATTAATCTAAATATTTTAATTTTTATAATTATCTTCAGGCATGCATAAATTATATTCAAGCAAACAGAAGGAATTTTTTAAAAAGTAAAGAATGGAAGAAAATTAAAAATAATTATCCAAGTTTGGTTCCGCGATTTTTGGAACCTATTATCGAAAGATTAAACAGATAATGCTTAAATTTTTTTATTTTACCATTTTTCCAAATAAATTATTTAAAAATTTTTTTATTATCGAATACTTTTATTTTTTAAAATAAAATTCAAAATATATTTAAAATATTTAATTGAATATATTGCAGATTGGTATAAATAATCTGCATTTTAGAACCTTGGTTCGGTTGTGTCAGGCTAAAACACGGTCGAACAAAACATGGAAAAGACAACACATGGAACGACCAAAATATACCATACATAGAGATCGGACAAACGGCAATATAAAATACCAAATTCTATTACCCCAACTACGTCGAAACTCCCTTAACACCTATTAACCCTTTTTCTGCGCCGCAGGCAAAAATTTTCAGAATTTTGGAAAGTCAGAAGCCAGACTAATCGAGCCACATCGAATGGTATTAAAATCGAATTGAGCTGACATTTTCACACTTATTGTTAGTTTTTCTATTAAAAATTATATTAAAGTAATTGTGCATAGAAGTTAACGAAATCTGCATTAAAATTGGAAAAAATAAATTTATTAGAAAGAAGAGCATGTTATCGTTAAAACAAGACTGACAGAATTCGAATCCGATCTGTAAATCTCGAGATATCGGATTTCGAAATTGGCAACCTAAAATAGTAACGAGAGTAATGCTAAAAATGAGAGAGCAAGTAAATGAAAGAGAGAAAAGCGGAGACACTTCCTTATTTCCGCTCTAACCCGCTGTGTTTCTGCATCATTTTAGACTATTTTTAAAAAATTTCTTTCCACTGCCCAATTGTCCGAATACTCCACACTTATTCCCCACTCTCCAAATTGCCGGCTACGCCTTAAATTATAATCTTTTTTTTGAATGTTTGTATGTAATAGGCAAATTTGTTAAACTGAGGAAGAAAGGAACGGCATTCAAAATTAGTATATTTTCTCATAAATAATTTGAAATATCAACCTAATATTTTTGTGTTTCCATTATTTAATGATTTATACATTCATTTTGTTTTCAATCTTCCCATCTTTTCCTCTTATTATAAAATATCTAATGTTACATAATTGTCCCTATTTTTAACTTCTTTCCATGATTTATTTTAGAACTATCCTTACATGAGCCTAATTTTAGATTACTTTAACTCTCAATTTTTAGATGGATACTGTTAGTTATGAATTCGATATGAGTGTTATTGGTCCTAAAAAGCTTCAATTTACTATGCCTTTAGATAAACTTGTATTATCAAGTAATCTTGACAATTTTTAAAAATTAATTAACTAATTTTTTTTCTCCATGTACCAATTTTTCTTGCTCAGAATTTCCATCAGCGGAATTTCAATTATGTGTGGAATTAATAAAAGGCCGTAAGACTGTTAATATTTGGATTCAACAATTAGGGCCTACAAGCTTGAGTTCTCTCGTGAATACTAAATATAGAATTTGGGCAATTAATGATGTGGAGCGAGTGAAAATTGCAAAGTAAATAGTTCCTTATTTGTTTCAACGTGGTAGGTTAAAACTAGAGTTGAAAAAAAATTTCCTCATTTTTTGCCGTATATTTTGTAAGATTTTAGAGTTACTGGTTCTGTAACCATTCGTTAACCTGTAACGTAACTTTTTATTAACAATTTTGTTTTGCCTGGGCATCAATAGGCGAAGAGGAGTGCGCGACCACAGTAGGAAATTTTCGGAGGCGTTTGGATGCGTGTATCTCAGCGGGCGGATCTAATTTTGATTATTTGTTTATTAGATTTTTTTAAACATTTTGTGTAAACTTATTTTTATTTTGATTTAAAAAAAAGTAATTCATTTTGATTAATTCCGGGACGTACCCTGTATGTTACGTACCCTGTATGTGGAAATGCTAAGACCAAAAATTGAAAAAAATAATCCTAATTTTTATTTTAAAGATCTACATACAAATTTGAGAACCAAAAACGTCTGGGATTTACTTCAATTTTATTGGACGAAATAGTCAATTCTGACGGTAAATCTTTACAAACAAAAACTTTTCTTTATCTGAAAATTATTTTAGGAAATTTGAAGCTTGCCTGCAAAGTTGAAATTGACGGTTACAATTCATATGATAATTTGCAAATTACTTATGCAAACATGTTTAATGAGGAAATATTAACTGATTTTGTTATTAAAGTTTAATAAAAATATATTTCGAAATAACACAATTTTTAGGTTGATGATGAAGTTATAAAAACACATAAATGTATTTTGGCAAAGAATAGTAAAGTATTTCACAAAATGTTTGAACAGAATAGCATGACTGAAGCACAAAATGTAGGTGTTTGTTAAATAAAAGTGCAAGTAAATTTGTTTCATTTGACGAAAGTGCTACTATTTTGTATGAGGAATAGAGAATTCTGAAAATCTAATAAACGTAGCCTAGGCTTTTTCAAAATAGGCTTTTTCTAGCTATTTTTTAGCTCCTTGAGTCCTTTTCACTAACTCAAATGGCTCAAAATTTAAAACTGGAGGGTCATAACCAGTGCTTCGAAGCTCGTACCAAAATTCGTGCTCGTATTTCGTACTACTAAGGGTAGTACGAGGTACGAGTACGAGGCCAAAAATAGAGGCGGTACGAAGTACGAAATTTCGAAGCACTGGTCATAACTTGTCCTCTTTCTCCCACATTTACCATAAAATGGTTCCATTAATTGTTCATTAGTTATGAAATCATTAAAATAAATTTAGGGGGAAGTTATTCTTACTGATACAACACCAGAATGTGTTCGTGCAATGTTGGAGTTTTTCTATATTGGAATGGTTTCTGATGGTTTAAATAAAAACAAATTTTTAAAAAATATTTAAAATTTAAAGATAGAATGAAAGATCACGTTGATGGTATTTTTGTTATTGCCCATAAATATGAAGTAGAAATGTTGAAATATTTGTGTGAACGTTTTATGTCTAGCAATATTAGTGAGAAAATTTAGCAGAAAATTAAAAAGAGATTCCAAATATTTTTATTTTAGATAATGAAAACATTGTTAAATATTGTGGGATTATTGACTTATATGGTGCTCCAACTTTGGAGAAGGTAAAATAATATTTGTTAAATACATATTTTTAATTTTAATTATTTTTACAGACATGTATAAATTATATTCAAGCAAATAAAAGGAACTTTTTAAAGAGTAACGAATGGGAAGAAATTAAAAATAATTATTTAAGTTTGGTTCCTCGATTGTTGGAATCTATTATTTTGAAGGATTAGACGGGAAATAATGCTTACATATAATTTTTCTAAATTACTCACATTTTCTTTCAAATACCGTATATGCTTGAATAATTACCCTGGGTAATTATTGTTTTAATTAATCGAGAGGATGTGCTAAATTTGGGAATATCTCAATAAATCGAGTAGGAAAGCCATTTATTTTTTCATATGAATTCTTATAATGTTTCAATAATTAAAATTGACAATGATTTTTTCAATATTTTTAAAATTAAAGAAAAGAAAAGGAGGAGGTAATTATTAAAGGGGGTAATTATTTGGGAGAGCGTAATTATTCGAGCATTTACGGTAAATTGTTTAAAAAAATTTTATTGTCGAGTACTTTTTATTTTTAAAAATAAAAATTTTAAATAAAGATTGTAAAGAAATTGAATATATTGTAGTAACTCTTTAGTTTTTTACCCGTTTCTTTTTTTTAATTTAGTGTTGGATTAACAAATTATTATTATGTTTTAGTAGCAAAATATTAGGAGGAGTGTTTGTAAAAATAAAAATATAATTGTTATTGAAATTAACTAAATATATAAATTTAGAAATTAAATTAAAAATAAAACTTACTTCTCTATTTAATAAATTAAAAGAAGAAGAAGAGGATACTTCTCTTAACCAAATTTCAATTTTTGTTGGTTTAATTATTTTTTTATTATTTAAATTATTTGGAATTAATAATTCATTAAATATTCCTTCCTTTTCTTCTAATAAACGAAAACTATTTTGAAAATTTTGTTCAATTTTATTTTTTATTGGAATTATTTGGTAACCTTTAAAAATATTTAATTTTTTGAATAGGTCAAACTCTCGTTTTTAAATACCTCCAAGATTGGATATACTTCAACTTAGTGACTGAGTGGGGGGGGGGATACCTACCTAAACGCGCCCCTTCAATTTTTAACGTACCCCATAATTACAAAGAATTACAATTTTCTCTACCCCGAGGAGGTATTTAAAAATGAGGTTATATTTATTTAAATATTACCAATTCTCTTTAAATATTCAATTAAAGACTGATTTCCAAATAAATGGCCTGCTCCTAAGGCAAAAAATAATGTTTTGTTTGAATTTTCTTTTAACAATAAATCTGTTCTTCTAAAATTAAATTAAATTATTCAAAATTAGTTAAAGAATATTTTGTTGAGTTAAAAAATTTATATTGGAACATACTTGGATCATATTTTGTGTGTCACCTTCCGGACAGAAAAATATGAAAGTTTATAATAGTATAAATTAGATCCCCTCCTGTATATTTATCAAAATTCTTTTCAAATTTTTACCTAGCCATTCTTTCATTTCTCCTCAATAAAATATCCTCAACTAATAAATTGTCAATCTAAAAGAACAATTTAATTTTTAAAAAATATTTATTTATTTATTTTATTTTTACTTCTTTAGCTAATTTGTCTTGTTCTGGAGTTGTTTGGAATCCATTTTGTGTAAATCTGTGTGCACCAAAAACTAACTACATAAATTAATCCAAAATTTAATTAATTTTATTTTAATTAATTTACTTGTTCAATACCAACTTGTAAAGTTCCACTTTAAAAATAAAAAAAAATAGTTAAAATTATTTTATTTAACAAACTAACCATTTATAATGTTTAATTAATTTATTAATTGACTCATTATTTATTGTTGTTGCTGTTAAATTTAATTTATTATCCGAGTCTTCTCTTTTTTCAGTCCACTCAATATAATTTAAAGTATAATTTATTGCAAATATTATTTGTTCTAATTTAATTAATTGTGTTGGATTACATTGTTCTGATACTGTTTCCATCTTTAAAAAATATTTTTTTTGAAGATTTCTTCCCGAATATTTTACCGAAATTAAATTTTTATTTTGTTCATTAGCCAACTGTGCCAAATACAAATCGAGCATTGGTGTTGGAATTATTTGGGAATTTATTTCTTGTAAATGTGGAGGAGAATCTCCAAGTTGAAATAAAAGGAATAATAACCAAATTGGCCTACGGATTTCCCAATCATCTTTTTTTGAAATATATTTATTTTAAATTAATTAAAAAATTTTCTGTTAACAAAAAAATAAAGATGGACTAGGAAAAGATGATTACATGACCAAGTAATTAAAATATTTCTTTAATTTTTAATTTAATAAAATTTACTTGGAAAAAACCGTTTAACATATCTACGTGCATGTGAATGTCTTCTATGTGTCTTTAAAAATAAATTTAAAAAATTTTAATAATTAAAAAACAAACCATATAAGCATGTTTAACAAGTTTTAAATGAATTCTTTGCATATACTCTTTAAGTCTATTAAATAATTCTTTTGGTAAAATATCACGTAGATTGCCAAAATTGGGTAATTGTTTACAGTAAATTAATTGTTTTACTTAAAAAATATTTTTCTTTTAAAATATTTTATTTAACAGGTTCGGGCAGGGCTAGTAAAATATCAGGATCGGGGTTGGTAAGCCCCGTTTGAACAATACAGTTTAACTTTTCATTTTAGAGGGAAGTTTCATTTAAATAAATAAAGCTGGGATTAAAAAGGAGACATGATTATATTATTAGAAGCTCTAAATATTATATGTATGTTATTAGAATTTCTATTAGTTTTATCATTTATTTAAATTTAATAGAACAATTAAATTTAAATTCCCAACCCAAAACTTTCCCAAAATATAAAATAAATTTAAATTAAAAAACCAATTTCCGGATTTTGCAATGCCAATTCCAAAACAACAGAATTTGAAGATTTAAAGGCCCTTTCAATTTGTGGTGGCACTTTAAAGTTAAAAATATTTTAATTATTCTTTTTAATCTAAATATTTCTAAAAAATTTTTAATTATTTTTCCTTCTTCAGGTCATTTCCCCTAATTTCCTTTTAATTAATTTTTACCAAAAAAATAATATTTTAGTAGTTTATATTAAAAATAAAATACACAACAATAACCCTCAGCAGGTGCCCCTTTTCCCTTTCCTTTTTTAACAATATAAATAATGAGTTTGGTTTATTTATAAATAAAAATATGGCATTCATTGTTAAATAAATAAAGTATTTGAATTAAATAAACAAAAATTAAATATAAATAAATTTTTGTTTAAATAAAAATTGTTTTAAATAAATAAATAAAATTAAAGGGAATCTAAAGGAAATTGAATAACTGGAAGGATTGAGAAATAAAAAAAAAGAGTTTAAAAAATTTTTGTGGTAAACCTAAATTTTTGATTATATTTCCAATAATTCTTCAAAATTTAAGGTCCTCTTGTCAAATCAACAAAAAATGAACAAAAAATTTGACTTATGGGACCAAAAAATTGTCCTGAGTCTTGTTAATTTTTAGTCTTGAGTTGGGGTCAAGTTTTGGTCTGAGTCTTGGAAAATTTTCGGTTTCGGACGGCTCTATTAATAATTATTAATTAAAAAAGGGAGAGGGATTTTATCTTTATTTATTTTATCTTTATCCCTTCCTTCCCCTCCTTACTTTTATTATCTTCCCATATTTTATTATAAGGAACATGTATTGTTCCAAATAAAAATGAAGGAGAATTTAGCCAGGTTGCATTAATTAACCACAAAAAAGACGAATTATTTAAACAATTTTCATTTAAATTTTCTTCAAAATTATTTTCTATAATTTCTTTTTTAATTAAAAATGTGGGTAAAATTAATCCAATAATTGCTGTTAATAAAGCTAACAATAAAAGGGCAAAAATTAAAAAGGCTAGGAAAGGGGGAATTACCCAATATATTTGTTTAAATAATGAAGAAGATTTGTTGTTGGTTATTCTTTCATTTTTTAAATTTAATTTTGTTTTTGTTGACATTTAATTGGTTGTTTTTGTGGAATCTTTAAGGTTATAAATAATAAATATTAATAATTACAACAAAAAATTATTTTTATATTATATGGATATGAAATATTGAAATTAAAAAGAGAATATAAAAATATTAAACATTCTTTACAAAAAAATAAATTGTGTACATATTAGAAAATTGTCTTTTTAATTTTAAAATTTTCAAATCAAAAACTTGACTAAATATTAAAAGAAAATAACGATGGAAAAAAATATGTATGTATGTATATTTTTGTCTTAAAATTAACAAAAATAAATTTCTCAATTTAATAATTCTTGTAAAAATATTTCTAATTTATTTTTAAAATTAATATATTTAATTTTATAAAATAAAATAAATTCTTAAAAATAATTTCCGTCATTTTAAAATTAATTATTATAGAGAAATTTTTGTATTACTAATTTGTTAATTAGGGAATAATTAGGAATATTACTAATTAATTAATTAGGGAATAAGGTGCTCAACTAATTAATTAGAAAAATTTTTGAAGGAATTTTTAACAAATTAATTCCGGTTATAAAAAAGAGAGTTCTTAATTCTTGATTAAGTTCAAAAGAATATTAAGCCATAATTATTTTAGTGACAAAAAATGTTGGGATTGCGTGTTGAACATTATTAAATTGTGAAGGATTACGAGGTCTTAAAAGAAGAAAAGTTAATATTTTTATTTTATTTTCTTTAAAAAAATAAATTTTAATTTATTTTCCGTCATTTGAAAATTTTTCTCTGAAGCGGGAAATAAAATAATAATTTTAAAATATTTTAAAAATTTAAATGGGCGTAACAATAAAAGGAAGAAAGATTTTGGAATATTGTTGTGGACACAGATTTTTGGTGGTTGCGCCCACTCCCCCCTCCTTTATTGTTGTTCTTTTGAGAAATTTAAAAGAAAAAAAATAAATAAATGAAGTGGAATAAAGAAGGAAATATTTAAATTTATTTAAGAGACAATAAATGTACTTGTATTTTTTAAGGTGAGAATTTAGCGGGAAATATATATTAAATTATGCATCAATGATATTTAAAAAATAATAATTAAGAATTGAAGAGAATATTTTTTACAAAAATTTTAAAATAATTTTTGGAACAAAAACAAGAAAGTCTTTAATGTAAAAAACATTAGAGGCATTTTATTTAAGATATTGTTTTGATTTAAAAATTATTTTAAAATTTTTGTAAAATAAAATATTTCTTTTTTTAAATAAAAATTATTTATTTTTATTTTATTTAATTCCCTTTATTATTTTCCCAAAATTCTTTTATATAATGTAGTTTATTTGTTGTTGTTGTGTATTGTTTTGAAGCTTTTTATTCTTTTTTAAAATGCGCGAACTCAACAACTTTAAGTGGAAGGGAAAAGAAGGTTGTTTGGACATTTTTATATAAAGAAGGAATTTCTTTTAAAAACTATTCAACAAATAAATATAAATTATTGTTAAAAAGGAGGGGGGAGGGGGTATTTTTATATATTAAATATTTAAGAGGGATAGAAGGGATTTTAAGAAAGGATTTATTTAATAAATTATTTTTTACAAATTAAGAATTTTGTTTAAATAAATGAATATGTAGTACTGAATAAAGTTGGAAGATCAGGATATTAGGAAATACATACATGAGGAGTAGCCTAATTTTGAATAAATTAGATTAGGTATAAAGATATTTTTTAATTATTATTTTTTTATTTTTTAAAAATTTGATTTTATGAATAAATATTAAAAAACTTTAATATTTAAATTAACAAATATTTAAATAAATTCTAACAATTTTATTTCTCAAAAATATGCGCCAAAACAAAATAAAAACAAAAATATAAACATTTGTTTATTTAAATATTTTTAAAAAAGCTTCTTCAAAATTACCGCTAAAAATATTTTTTCCATTTTAGTAAATAAATATAACGACAATAATGGACAAAAAAGGATATTTATTTATTTTTAAAATTAAAAAAAAAAAGTTAAAAATGTTTTGCCGCGTTGTTCGGCGCAACTTCAAAAGAAAAAAACTTCAAAGAAAATAACCGACAAACAAATTTTGGACAAAGAATGGAAGAGAATGAAAAGAAAAGAAGAAAGTCTTGCCACCGGGCATTCTCTAAATTCTTTTTAGACCTCACATATTTCTAGGAAAATATTTGAAAATTTTGGGAAAATATTTTATTGAAAAATTAAATAAATAATTGAGAATTTAAAGAAAATTTTTTTTTAGAAAATTGTTGTGCAATGGTGTACATAGTATAAGCAGTAGTCAGCAAGTGTCAGCTTCAGTCTGATAGGATCATACAAGACCGTTGGATTGGGTGATACATGATATATTGGATCATACAACCCCGTCTGATTAGATCATACAAGCCTGGCTATTCCTGATATCCTTTGTCTGATCCAGTCCAATTCCACCTTTATTTCTTCTTGTGCTTATCAACTATTAATAAATTTAATTTTCCAATTTTCCCCTTATTTTTGACAAATTATTTTTATTTATTTTTTTTCTATTATTATTCCTCTTTTGTTTGTTCATTTTTTTGTTCATTTATTTTTGTTTTTCCCTTTTATTGTTTTTAATTTCATTAAAAAATAAAGCTTTTTATTTTTTAAAAATTATTTTTAATTTCAAAAAAAATGTTTTTATTAAATAAAATTTTAATTTTTAATTTTTTCTTTAATTTTTGTTATTCTTTTAATTTACTTGAACGTTTAAAACATTTAAAAATAATTCCTTCAATTTTTGAGTTTACTCGAAAAAAACCTTCTTCAATAAATATAACACAACAAGTTTGCTTAATTTTGATTTTTTTATTTAATTTTTTTTAAAAATCAGAAAATAGATGAATTTACTTTTTCAATGGGTAAAGAAAAAATGAAAGAAATGTTTAAAGTTAGGCAAAATTTGGAGGAAATTAAAAAACATTTAATGGCCGGATGGGAAGCTGCTGGTTTAATTGAACCTAGTGTTCTTTTAGCACATGCTATGGCTTGTTTTTTTTTGAAAATATTATTTAAAATTTAAATATACTTTTGTTATTTTTACAATTAATTTCTATTCCGTTAAAGTCTTATTATTATGGAATAGGGTAGCCAGCTCGCTCGACCCGAAACTCGAAAAATCGAGCGAGCCGAGGCTTTTCAGCTCGAAAACCGAATCGAAAAAAATCAAGCTCGAAAAAATGCCCCGAACGTCGGTTCGACCCGAAAACGGCAACTCTAATTATGAGAGCCCCTTTTCTCGTCCTTCACTTTTCCTCCTCCAATAAACTTAAAATATATATTGTGTTGTAACATAATTAATGATCGTTTTTTCTCAATTTACAAAACGCAATAAATAAACAAAAAACAAATTGAATCAATGATATCCAAACATTTTTAAAAATTCCAGAATTTAGCTGAACAAAGAGAATCAAACAAAAATATAAATCAAAACAGAGAAGCTATTGCAGAATTAAATAAACCTTTAAATGATTTTTTATATCAAGTATATTTATTTTTAAAAATCATTTAAATAAAACTTTAAGGGAGATATTCTTTTAACATTTAATGAATCAAAAGAAATCTTATTAAATATTGTAAATCAAAATAAAAAAGGGGGAATTAGTGAAGGAATTATTCCTGGACAATTAACTATAATTGTTGGTGGGGATGAATTAATGGTTTTGAATGATGATAATTTTAATAAGAAAAGAAAAAGAAGGCAAGCACAAACTGGAAGAAATTTTCCAAAAAATCAATGGGAACCTTCAAAGCCTGTTCCATATATTTTTGATCCAAAATTAAGTAAATTTAAATTTATTTTTAAAAAATTTAAAGAAAATTAAAGGTGAAAATGCTAGAAAATTAGTTCGTTTAGCAGCTCAATTCTGGACTGAAAATACTTGTCTATCTTTTGCTGAGAATGGACAGGGGAATCCTAAAGTGAGGATTTTCCCTGGAGGGGGTTGCTACAGGTAGTTTTAACCGTCTAATTTCAAAATTTATTTTAAATTTATAGTCAAGTTGGGAGAGCATTTAATCAAGGAGAACAAGTAACTTTTAAACAAAATATCAAATTTATAATACTTACACTTAAAAGATGATTTCGCTTGGTCATGGCTGCGAACAGGTAATTTTAAATATTTTCCCCAGCTCCCCTAAAACAAATCCCAAAATTAAAAATCAAGAAAAAATTTTTTGAGAAATTAATTTATGTATCCGGATTCAAAAACAAAGTAAATAATTATAAGGACGACAAAACAAAATAAATTTAAAGAAAAACAAAGTCAACGAGGAGATCAATCCATCAAAACCTTTTACATTAAATTAATCAACTTCCTCCATACGCGAAGCATCCTCCTCTGCACCAGCAATCTTTTCAACAGGTTCACCAGAAGTGCAGGGTTGTTGCTCTCCTCCTTCCAAGTCCTCTTCGGTAATATCCAAACCAAGTTTAACCATTCGGTAAATACGTGAAGCGTGTTGTTGAGGGTCTTCAAGAGAGAAGCCAGAAGTCAACAAAGCTGTCTCATAGAGCAAAACAACCAAATCTTTGGCAGTTTTGTCATCTTGGTCGGAGTCAATACGTTCGCGAAGAGACCTAAATATTGAAAGTGTGAATTTGGCAAAAACTAGTTAGGTCATAAACTCACTTAATGATGGAATGATCTGGATTGATTTCCAAATTCTTTTTGCTTGCCATATATCCCATCGTGGAAGAATCACGTAAAGCTTGCGCCTTCATTATTCTTTCCATGTTTGCAGTCCATCCATATTCACCAGTAACAATACAACATGGAGAAGAGACAAGTCGATTTGAAACAGAGACTTTTTGAACTTTTTTGTCCAAAATATCCTAAAAATAAATTAAATATTCCAAATTCTTTAAAATTCTCTGTGGTACCTTAATAACTTTGCAAAGTTTCTCAAATTTGACTTTATCTTCTTCAAACTTCTTCTTTTCCTCTTCACTTTCTGGCAACTCCAAACCTTCTTTAGTAACGCTAACCAATTTCTTTCCATCAAATTCTTTCAATTGTTGAATGCAATATTCATCAATTGGATCAACCATATAAATAACTTCAAATCCTCGCTTCTTAACACGTTCAACAAAAGCAGAGTTTTGAACAACTTCTTTAGACTCGCCAGTAATATAATAAATGCAAGTCTGATTTTCTTTCATTCGTCCAACATAATCTTTCAAGCTAACAAGTTCATCGCCAGAAGAGGAAGTGTTGTAACGGAGATATTCGGCAAGCTTTTTACGGTTGACAGAATCTTCGTGAATACCCAACTAAAGAACAAATAATTTCCAAAAAAAACATTTTTAAAAAACCTTAAGATTCTTGCTGAATTGCTCATAAAATTTCTTAAAGTTGTCCTTGTCTTCAGCAATTTCATCAAAAAGTTCGATACACTTCTTGACCAAATTTTTTCGGATCACTTTAAGAATTTTGGATTGTTGGAGCATTTCCCGAGAAATGTTAAGAGGAAGGTCCTCAGAGTCAACAACTCCTGAAAAATTTGAAAATGAAAAAGATCAAAATTTCAATTAACCTTTAATAAAGTTGAGGTATTCAGGCATTAATTCTTCACAATTCTCCATAATGAAGACACGTCGAACATAAAGCTTGATAGCATTCTTTTGCTTCTTATTCTCGAACATGTCAAAGGGAGCACGTTGTGGAACGAACAAAAGGGCACTGAAAAAATGAAACATTTAACCCAAATTCACTAGCATTAGTAGAAGGAGGAATTAAAAATTTACCGGAATTCCAATTGTCCTTCAACGCTCAAATGCTTAACAGCCAAATGGTCCTCCCAATCGTTAGACAAGCTCTTGTAGAATTCGGCATATTCCTTAAAAGCGGAGAACAGTTACTAATTTATACATGTATCAGTTTAACCTCATTAGTAATGTCATCGGGGTTTCGTGTCCAAATGGGCTTTGTTTTGTTCAACTCTTCATCTTCGGTGTATTTCTCTTTGATCTTCTTGGTCTTCTTTTTCTTTTCACCATCCTTCTTGTCCTTATCCTCCTCATCTAAAAATAGTAATTGAACAATTACTATCAAAGAAAAATACCTTCTCCCTCCTTTTCCTCACCCTCTTCCTTTTTAACCTCCTTCTCTTCGTCTTTTACTTCTTCCTTCTTTTCGTCCTTCTTCTCATCCTCAGCCTCATCATCAGAAATCTCCTTATCACGTTCCTTCTCAACCAAGAGCTTTATTGGATATCCAATGAATTGGGAGTGCTTCTTAACGACTTCGCGAATACGACGCTCTTCCAAATAATCAGTCTGATCCTCTTTAAGGTAAAGAGTGATCTTCGTTCCGCGAGTCATTTCAGGATCAACACAGTTCCGGATGATGAATGAACCACCAGCGGAAGACTCCCATTGATGACAGTCATCATCATTATGTTTAGAAGTGACTGTGACGCGGTCAGCAACCAAGAAGGCAGAGTAGAAACCAACACCGAATTGACCAATCATGCTGATATCAGCACCAGCCTAAATTTTAATATTTAAGCTTTCTTTAAAAGGATAACACACTCATTTAAAACAAAATTTAAAACCTGAAGAGCCTCCATGAAAGCTTTGGTTCCAGACTTAGCAATAGTTCCAAGATTGTTAACAAGATCGGCCTTAGTCATTCCGACTCCAGTATCCATAATAGTCAAAGTCTTATCGGCCTTGTTCGGGACAATTTTAATGTAAAGATCCTTGCCAGTCTCCAACTGGGCTGGATCAGTCAAAGCTTGATAACGAATCTTGTCCAAAGCGTCGGAGGAGTTGGAGATCAATTCACGAAGGAAAATTTCCTAAAAATTGAAAAATTAAAGCAAAAAAATACAGAAAATTACCTTGTTGGAATAGAACGTGTTGATGATCAAGGACATCAACTGGGCGATCTCCGCCTGAAAAGCGAACGTTTCGCCTGGAGTGCCGTTCACATCCTCCATCTTAATATCGGGCATTTTGAAGAATTAGCGTTTGAAGAAATATAAAATTTGTTATCTAAAAAATTTAGCTTTAAAAATTTTGATTTACTATAAAAGATCCATGCAATGTTTGGAAAAACATAACGCGTAATTTTCTAGAAAATCGCGATAAGAGCCAACCTACCCCCAAAAAAACCTTTGCAAATAAATAAACTGGGATTTTTTTCCTCCGTTTTATATTGAGAAAGGAGAAAGCAAGAATATTCTAGAATGTCTTTTATAAGGGTGAAGAAAGTTAAGTGAAACAAAAAGAGAATGAGGAAAAAGAAGAAAAGAATTTTCGAGAATAAATGTTGAAGTGTTTGGCGTAAAATTAAATATTTAAATTGAGTTAACAAACGGTCTATTTGAGTCCAGGCCTAATGTGAAGGAAAATTATCAGAAAAGGTTCTTAAAAATACTGAAATAATTAATAGTGGGAGATAATATTGGAAACTAACGATTTTTAGGGTTAATTTTTACAAAATTTAAAGTTCGGCATTGCTGCTCATGAGCTTGGACACACACTTGGGTTCTTCCATGCACAAGCCCGTTTTGATAGGGATCAGTTTATTAATGTTGTTTATGCCAATTTGAGGTGTTAAAAATTAAAAAATAAATTTTATTTTTTCCCTTCAAGTCCCCAATTGGCAACACAATTTGTAAAACAAAGTCCGGCTGATAATTTTAATTTCGGTGTTACTTATGATTATGGAAGTGTGTTTATTTAAATTGTTATTTAAGGATTTTATTTTTTATAAATTTGTAGATTATGCATTATTCAGATACAGACATGTCCACTAATCGGTAAGTAAAGTCCCAAAAATAAAAAGTTTTTGTTGAAAATTTTTGTTAATATTATTCATCATTTATTGAGTGTAACAATGCTTGCAAAAGACAAAAGCTTTCAACATACAATGGGAAATAATGTTGCCCCCTCGTTTCTTGATGTTTTGGAGGTGATTAATATTCATATAGAAAATTGATGGAATGTAAGGGGAATTAGTAGATAATTTAAAAAAATTAAATTCTTAATACAATCGACTCTCGATATTAGCGACTTTTAGGAGAAATATTACCTAATAGTAATATGGCACTAATTTGTTATCTATCACCTCATTCTTTGATCAGAAAAAATGTCACTTAGAATACAATCAACTTTCGATTTTGATTGTAAACTTCAATTAGATGAATTCCATCTTATAAAAATTATTATTAACGGAAATTTTATTTCAACTAGATGAATTTGTATTATAAATGCTCAGAACATTGTAATGCAAATGGGGCTAATTGTAAAAATGGTGGTTATAGGTTGGAGGATTATTTAAAAATTTAATTTAAAAACAAAAAATCTTTCTAGACATCCACGTAATTGTTCTACCTGTATTTGCCCTGATGGTTTTGGAAGTTTTGACTGTACAAGAAGAGCAACTCCAGTATTTGGTGCTCCTCCTAATTGTGGGGCAACAATTAAAGTTTTTCTATTTTTTTTAATTAAAATAAAAAGAATTTTGGGCAAACAATTCTGATTTTCAAATATTAAATGGAGAAGTTTCAAGTATTGTAGAGAATGGGATGGCCCCAAGACATGCTCAGTGTTGGTGGCATATTAGGGTGATTAAAAAATATTTTTTATTATAAAAATTTTAAAAGGCTCCAATGGGTAAAAGAATTCAAATTCGTGTCAAATCTGTTTCTGGTGCTTGTTCTGATGGTTGTTTTTATGGAGGAACAGAAATTAAAGCACGCGATTTTCTTAGAGTTGGAGCTAGGTAATTAAATTTAAGGATATAAATTGTGCATATTTTTTAAATGAAGGTATATCAGAATCACCCCATATTTAAACAGAAATTCAATTAATAGTCTTGAAAAATAAAAGAAATATGTATTACCCCTTTTTTCAAGAAAATTTAAATTGAGACGTTCTTAAAGGAGTCTTCAGTCAATGATTTTAAAAGATATTTAAATAATTCAGTTATTTTCTTTGTACAATTTCTCTTAAAATTTTTTCAAAGAATCTGTTGCCGTTCAGATGTTCGTCCATTGGGTATTCTCTATAGCAATACAGAATTAGCTATTATAAGCGTATTTAGTCAATATAAAAAACAACATTTTTCTATTGAATATAAAATTGGTATTTAATTAATTTTTAATTAAAAATAATTATTTTTTAAAAAGTTGATCCATTAAATGTCCCTCCAAATGGTTTTGATGATTATGATAATATTAATTGGAAAGATATTAAAGAAAACAAAATTGAAGTTAATAAAGAAGTTGAAAAAAATAAAACAGAAAAAGTAATTAAAGTTTGTAGAGATGTTGCTACTAGATGCTTTAGGTAAAAGAAAATTATTTAAATTAACTCAAAAATTAAATACCTCTTAATTAAAAATAAATTTTAATTAGAGATTAGGCGAATTAATTGTTTAGACAATACTTCCAATTTAAGTTCCAAGGAGGTATCTAAATAATATTTCTCGTTATTGTAAAGGACAATAAATGTAATTATTTTTTAAGTTCTTCCTAGAGAACAGATTACTCTCATCATAGAAGGGAATTTTTCTTTTAATTTATAGATGGACATTCTTTACGGTTATTATTCCCTCTTTTAGTTATTTTCACTCCTTAATTCCCTCCTTAAAGTTAATTCTTTCCACTTTTTTCTTTCTGATTTTCTTTAAAATTTCTTTAAAAACTTTCTTTAAGTTTACTAAATCTATGTGAAAATCGTTTATATAAACGTATAATGAGAAGTCAATGTGCTAAAAGTTGTGCTGTTTGTAGTTCTTCGGGTGAAGTATCTGATGCTAATAAAAATGAAAAGGAAGACAAAGATAAGAAGGAAAATAATACAAAAGAAAATTGTGGAAAGAAGGACCATGACGGGCAAGTTTTTGGATCAGAATTAAAAAAAACCCTCCAAATTTCTGATTTTTTAGTTGTCAAGCTTGGGCAAAGAATGGATTTTGCAATTCCTCCAGTTATTCTGCTATAGTTAAACGTCAAATATGCCCAATAATTTGTAAAATGTGTTAAAATGAATTTTAAAAAGGACCTCAAAATTAATATTATTTAATTGTTAAAAAAATATTTTTTGTTAATAAAAGGAGAAATTGATTTTTGTAAAAATCTTTTTAAAAATAATTTTTAAAAATACAGGTAAAATATATTATTAAAATTCAAATATTTTTAAAAATAATAATAATTAAATAAATAACTAAATTTTATTATAGGAAAACTAAATAAATTTTAAAAAAATACAAAAAAATATTTTTTACTAAAAAAATAATTATAAATTAAAATATTCAGAAAATTAAGGCTGCCAAGCCAAAGCATATTGTCCATTCTTTTCAACTTTGCATGATTTGCCTTCTTTAAAATGTGATTTATGTGCAAAATCGTCGAAAGCAACAACCTTTAAAATTAAATTAAATATCCTTTAAAAAATCCCCCTCGCTCACAGTTTCAAATTTTCCTCCAAGCGAGCCTTCTGCCATTTTTTGAATGTGATTAGCAGAAGAAAGTAAATCTTTGCCACTCATTGCTTTTTTCATTGCGTTTTCTTTAAAAATAAAAGTTTTGAGTCTCCTTTAAATTAATCACAAATTAATTACCTAATTGTTTATTACAACAAGTAAATCCAGAATCATTAATATAACAACTATTTTGAGAATTAATTTTATAAAATATACAAAATAAAATAATTAAATAAATTATTGGTTTTGTTGTTATTGGTAGTAACCTTTTTAATAATAACATTCTTTTCTTTTTTCTTTCTAAAAATAATTTTTTTTAATTTTATAATCAACTCTTGATATATTGAACTGACAAATATTTTCTTTTTGTAATTATTATTAATAGGGGTGTCGGTTCTTGGAAAATCTTTGGATATCCGGAACCGAACTGCAGAACCAAACCGAACATCATCGGTTCTTCGGTTCGGTCCAGAACCAACAACCCTAATTATTTATCTATATTTAATTTTATAAATATTTCTCTTAAAATTCTGTCAAATAATACCGAAAATAAAAATCGACAACTCTTTAAATAAAAAATAAAATTTTAATTAAAATTAATTTAACAAAAAAGACAACAATAATAATTATATAATTTGGAGAAAAAATAAAATCCTTTCCAAGTAAATTACAATAAAATAAATTAGCTAAGAACGAGAATATATTTATTTATATATTTATTTTTCTGATCGTCCAACCAAAAAATAATTTGGATTAAAAAATACTTTCCTTCTTCTCTCCCTCTTCCTCTCCCAAATTTATCCTTAATAAAAATTTTCTACGCTGGCTATAAAATATTGGGAAAGGAAAAAATAAATCAGTAGGACAAAACCAGAAAGTACTTACTAACAATAAAATCTTTTTTTATTTTTGTTTTTATCTGGAGAGTATTAAATGTTCGCGCAAAAATTATTCGAGAATTGCACAATTTAATTGTTATTAAATATTTTTATTGTTTAATGAAGCGTTCTTTTTTTTGGAAAAAATTTTTATTTTAGAGTTTGTGGGGGATAGTGAATTTAACAAGGATCCTGACAATATTTAAAAATAAATTCCCAATTTTCGGGAATACAGGCGGGAAGATACCTGACATGTAAATAAAATGAGATGATTAAATAAAAAAATGAAATTAATTTGAAAATAAATTCTGGTTTTAATTTCTGATTTTTTTTCTTAAATTTTAAAATACAAAATTTAAAAACAATTTTTATTTGTTGGAATTGTTAAAATTTTAATAAAAATAAATTAGCTTGCAGAGGGATTTGAATTGAAAATATAATGGATCTTCTATTTATTTTTTTAGTTTATAAACAATTTGAATTTAAATCTTTATAATTTTTAAAAAAAAAATTATTTTTTAAATTATAATTAATTTTTACAATTTATTAAAAGAATTATTACAAAATATTATACATATTGATTTAAAAAAAGGGAAAATCAACTTTTGTATTTTTAAATAAATATATCCAAAAGAATATTCCTTCATTCATTTCTTCTCCTCTACATAGAATCTAGTTAGTATTTCAATTAAAATCAGAAATCCTTCTCTTTTTTTAATTACTCCCTTTCCTTTCTGCAAATTTTTATTTTGATGATCCACGCAGTTTTTAAAAGTTATTTTCTAAAAAGGAGGAGAATTGGAGATGAAAAAGGAGGAGGGAGAATATAGCAGCTATTATTATTTTGATGGAAATTGTTTTTTTAATGGAAATAAATTTTAAAAAAATTAAGGAAAGAGGAAAATAAAATTTTATAAAATTAATTAATTAATTAAATTTTTTAATTTAAAATTGATTAAAAATTAAAAGACAAAATAATTGGAAAAAAAATATTTTTTGCAAATAATTAACATTTTAATAATTTCCTTATTTTAATTTTTTATATTTTTTTTTAATTTTTAAAAATTGGAAATATTTTTTTAATTTTGAAAATTATAAAAAAAATTTTTTCTTCGATTTATTTTTTAAAAAGATTAAAAATTATATAAAAAAATATAAAATTGCGTTATTTAATTCCCATAATAAAAAAATTTTTCTAAATTTGCATTTTATTGATCTAAAAATAGAGGGAATTAATAAAAGAATTGCGAGAAGATAAAAAGGTGGGTAAATAAATAAATTATTAAAAAAATTATTTTTAAATTTTTTGACGTAGTTGGCTTGTGAGAATTAAAAAAAATTTTTTTTATTTGTAAATCTGCTTTTTTTAGAGACCCTTTAATTCTTTTTTAAATAAATTAAATATTTAATGTAAAGGGAATTAATTTAAAAATAAAATTTAAATTAAATTAATAATTAAATTAATATGAAATTCCTCATTATCCTTATTCTTCAAATAAATTTATTTTTTAAAATATTTTGTCAAGAAGAAGCATCTACTGCTAGCAGCATTATTCTCCCTCCTCAACCTCCTCCCCCTCATAGTAAAATAATTTAAAACTAAAAATAAATATTAATTTGGTTATATATCTCGGGAGGTTAGAAAATCTTAACTAAAATTAATTGTAATATTTAGACATCCTTCCTTTCCCCAACAACATTAAATAATCAATTTATCACAACATATAACTAAAAATTCAACTAATAATTTAAAAATAATATTTGATTTTACAAATTTAAATTTAAATATATAATTTATTTAATTTTTAAAATCCTTGTAATTTTTTCATTATTTCCTTCTTGCTGCTTTTTTATTTAAATTTAAATTTAAAAAAATTAAAAAAAAAGAGAATTTTCCCTTTTCTGAATAATTAATTAATTAAAAAATAAAATTAAAACTTCTGATTCTTTCTTAAAAACTAAATCTTTATTTATTTTCCCTAAAGATGTCAGAACTTGTAATTTTGTTGGTGATACAACAGGATATTTACGTCCCTGTTATTTCACAAATTGGGCACAACATAGAGATGGGAGAGCCAAATTTGTTCCAGAAGATTATGTTCCAAGACTTTGCACACATATACTCTATGCTTTTGCTCAATTTAATTCTAGCTTTATTTTATCGTAAAAAATTAATTTAAAATTAAATTGAAGTTCTGAAGTTCAGTAAAAAAATATTTTTTTTCTGTCGGTGGATGGACTTTTAGTCCCCTCTACCTGTCCTTTAATTTGTGGACAGTTAAGAGGACATTAAATATGGGGATATTTACATACCTAAAATTTAAAAATTTATTTAAAAAAAAAATACATATTTTTAAAGACCAACAGATCCAGCAGATTTACCAAATGAATCAGACCCTAAAGGTTTATATCAACGTGTTGTTGAACTTAAAGCAAGTTATTTTTAATATACTTTGAATATTTCTTCCAATTAATTGTAATATTGAGAATATTGAAGTCTCCCAAAAAACTTTCTCGTTTAGCCCTCACTTTGGGGGGTGGTTAACAGGGCTGGGCTTATTTCGCAATTTCGCTTTTTATTTTTTAATTTCGCCAGCCCTGTGGTTAAGTTTAAATGGAAGGAAATTAAAAAAAAGAATTTTTTGTTTTCACACAACTTCTAAAAAATTAAAAAAAACTATTAAAACCTTTAAATAGAAAATTTTTTAAAGAATTATGATTATGCCCTCAAAGTATTAATTTCTGTTGGTGGATGGACTTTAAGTCAAACAAGTCTTTTTGAAGATATGATGTCCAGGTAATTTAAATAAATTTAAAATAAATAAATTTAAAATTAATTAAAGTAAAGAGAATCGAACAGCATTTATTACTTCCTCAATTATTTTTATGAGAAAATATGGCTTTGATGGAATTGATATAGATTATGAATATCCAAAAAATAAAACAAATTTTAATTTACTTTTTAAGGTAAATAGAAAGGAGGGAATTTTAAAGAAAATTATTATTTTTAAAGGAATTTACTGAAGCATTTAAAGAAGACAAAAAACGAAATTGTGAAAAACTTATTATAACAGCAGCAGTTTCAGCTGGAATTGAAACTGCAAAAAAGTCATATGATATTGCAAATATATCAAAGTTTGCATTTTATTTTAAATTATTATTTAGTAAACTTTTATTTTAAAAGGCCGAAGTTTGAGACTATGGGAAGTAACTCCACAGTAACGTGCCCTAGGAAACTCATAATCCCTTATATCGAGCTATCCCACTATAAACCTTCTCATATACTTTATGTTCTAGTTTACCGTAAATGCTCGAATAATTACCCTCTCTCAAATAATTGCCCCCTCTCAATTAATTACCCCATGTAGCGAGAGGTTGAAAAAATAATTACCCTCTCTCAAATAATTACCCTCTTTAATAATTACCCCCTATTTTTTCATAAACAAATTATAAAAGTATTTATTTAAAAAATCTAAAAATTTTAATGATGGAACATTTTAAGAATCAATATAAAAAATAAATCGAAAGATTAAAAGGATTTTTGGAAAATATCGAGGGATTTATGTGGATTAAGGGATATATCAAGGTATTTCCTTGAAATAAGCTGAACCATTTTGGGGTACTTAATATAACATATATTAAGCTATTATAGAAAACGATAAAAAATTTAACATTTATCTCCGCAATCGGTATCATATTGTATGTATATCCCTGTTTTCAAATTATAAAACAAAAAATTTATATTAAGGTCGAAAACTTTGATAAAATATAATTTTTTACAGTTATGTTGAATTTGTCAATCTGATGACATATGATTTCCACGTTAGTACAGAAAATGTAACAGGCTATAATTCTCCACTATTTACTAAAGACAATTTAAATATTGTAAGGAAATATAAATATGTATTTTAATAATTAATTTATTTATTTTTAATTTAAGGATTCGGCAGCTGATTATTGGGCTGCTGAAGGAATGCCAAAAAAGAAAATTGTAATAGGCCTAGCAACTTATGGTAAAACAAAAAAATTTAAATAATAATACAAAATTGTTTATAGGTCATGGATGGACTTTAGCAAATCCAAACGGGTCAAGAAAACCTGTAGGAAGTGCTGCTATTGGCCCTTCAAACGCTACAACGTATTTAAAATCTGAAGGGATTGGAGCATATTTTGAAGTAAATTAAAAAAAATTATTAAAAAAAATTCTCTCTTTTAGTTTTGTGAAATGTTAACTGATCCAACAACTAAACGTGCTTTTGATTTAAATGCAAAAGTACCTTTTCTTATTTATCAAGAAAGTCAATGGTTTAGTTATGATAATATTAAAAGTTTTAAAGCAAAGGTAAAAAATGAAGACATTTTTTAAAAATTAAAAAAATTTAAAGATTGATTGGATTAAAGGAAATGGTTATGGAGGGACTTATGTTTGGACTTTAGATTATGATGATTTTAATGGGGAATGCACAGATAGTGTTGATGGTAAGGAAAAAAGAAAATAAAAATTTCTTTTAAATTTTCCTTCCAATTTATAGGTATTTATCCTTTAATTGGAACAATTGCACGCAGAATGGGAAATGTTAAAGGACCACTAATTCCAATATCTACGCAAAAGCCTTTAATATGAGGGAAATTCATAAAAAAACTTTTTAAAATAAATTAATTTCATAAATTCTAATTTAAAAAATGTAAATATTTAATCCTTCCAAATAAAATTTCTAAGTCATTCTGATTTTTATTAATCTAATTAAAGAAAAGTTAAAGAGACAAAGAATTTTTATTATCAAAAAAAAAATTAAAATTTCTACGTTAAGGGAGTGAATAAAATTGTCACCCCAATGACCAATTAAATTTGAAAAAGAGTTCACTAAAATGAGTTGCTTAAAATAGCTGTGGCTCACTTATGTATAACAAAAAGGAAATTCTTTAAAAATTTATTTATAGGTAACATAATTAAAGGAGTATGAGTAGTTATAAAATAATTGGCAGCTCAAAATTATATACTATATAAATTCCTATATTATATTAATGTCCATTTATTAATATTAAATTATTTATTAATCCAAGAAAGAAAGAAATTTAAAAAATTAACAGATTCGGGAAAATCTTGTATTTTTAAAAATAGAATAAAAGCAATTTTAAAATAATACAATATATTGTGTTGAATATTCCGTAGACAAAAGAAATGAGTGAAGAAACACAGACAAAAAAGAGAAATAAAAATTTTAGAAAATGGATGGAAATACCATATTATTTTTCCTTAAAAATTCTTCTTGTATAATTCTTTTAAAAACATACCGAAAACATTTTCATAACCTTCCATTATACTAAAATAAATATCGACTAAAGAGGGACAAATTTTTTAAAGAGATTCATAAAATAAATTTTTGTCACTTTTATGATGATGTTGAAATGTCTTGTTGTTGTCCATTTCCACCTCCTCTTCCCCCTCCACCCATTCGATCGCTTCCTTTTTGTTCTGGATCGGGTGGTGGAGATGAAGCATCTCTCGACGAATCCGGCGTTTCGTCTGTCGATAATTTGAGTATTTTATTTGGCTGTTTTTCTTCCCCAACGACTATTTTTGTTTGAGACCGAGACAAAGATTTTGATAATTTTGTTTCTTTTCCATTTCCTTCGCCGTCATCATCATCGTCGTCACTGAGATCATAATCAACTAAGGGACGTTTGAGTGTAGTTGAGGAAGGTGGTGAAGAAGAGCTAGTTGTTGTGGTTGTACTGTCTGTACTGCACGAATCTGTTGTTGGAGAAGTTGTAGTTGATATGGCTGTGGATTGTTGTTGATGAGGTTTTGGCTCGTCGAATGGCGGCTAAAAAAGATAAGAAAGTAAAATTTTAGTTAAAAAATATCGAGGTTTATTTATCAATTTTTACCAAGTCTGTATCTGGTTCAACCGTAGAATCCACTGCTTGTTGTTGAGGCAGCTGTTGTTGAACTACAACAGATTGACGAGGAGTAGGAGTAATTTCTTTCGTGTTCATTCGAATCATTATTTTTGATATTCGCACGTTTGAACCAGCTGGAGGTGTAATATTGCCTCCAAAAACAGACGAAATGCTATCCTCATCATCAAGAGCTTTAAAAACTATTTTTATTGAATTTAAAATAAAGAGTTAACCTTTGCGTTTTCGGTTGGCCAGCGATGGAAACATTGGTTCCATACCAGATTTACGTAATTGCGGTGCTGGCTAGAGAAATTTTAAAAATTAATAAAATTAAAAAAAGAAAAACCATTTCGTCCTCATCTTCTTTACTAAAGAATAATTCCTCATCATCGTGTTCACGTTCTTTTCTCCATTGTGAATTAGGTGGAGGTGTCATTGCCAAGCCAGTGTTCTCTTTGGAAGCTGAATCACGTTCGAACGAAAAAGTATCAGCAAATTGTGCACAACGGGTTTTCATTACAGAAAAAGTCCGGACATATTCAACTTTACTAAATGTAGTTTCCCAATGTTTTTGTACTACATATTGCATAAGTGGACGAATTTCTTCCTGAAAAATAAATTTAAAAAATTGAAAATTTAATGAAAAAAATTAACCGTTCGAATATATTCAAATAATTCAATCAAAGACGAGTTGAGCAAATTGTAGCGTGATCCATTCGCCTCAAAACATTCAACAACAGGGTCCAAAATTGATTTATCACAAATATGACGGAAATAAATATCCTAGAAAAAAAATTTTAATTTTACAACGAAACTTTAATTTCAACAACTCACATCCTTTAACCCGATAATTCGTCGAAGCAACCGTAGAGCGCCTTAGTTAAAATCAAAATTAGATTAAAAATATAAAATTAACAAACAATGAGCTAAAAAATGATGTTTGCTCTTCAAATAGACAAGAATAGAAAGAAGCATTCCTCTTTGTATGGCATAAGTACGCATGTTATAACTGTGATGTTCTACAAAAAAGCAAAGCAAATCAATTACAAGAGTCAATTTATTTGCCATGTAATAACTATCTAAAAAGTAAATATTTAGGTTAGAAAATTATTTAAAAATCATTTACCAGAGATTGGATGCCCATTTTTGGCATTTTCGTGTATTGGCGCGCAAAGTGTATTCATCGCTCGTTTATAAAACATTTGTAGAAATTCACCCTTTTCTCCTTTCTAATAAATTAATTTTAGTGAATTAAAAGGAATACAAAAATTACCGAAACAATACTCTCTGGATCCAACAAAATTCGAATTGCATTAGCTATTTGATGGGCTGAAGTAAATTCGGGATCTTTATCGCTAAGCATATGATTGATCAATTTGTTAATGAGTAAAGAGCTCTAAAAGCAAAATTTAATTGATAAATCTTTAAAAATTAAAAATTACATTTTTAGATTCAGGAACAATTCTAAATTGTCTAACAAGAAAATCACGAAATATTTGCGCATTAAAATCTACAATTATTGATAGAAGTTCTACTGTCGCTGTTCGTGTTGAAGCTAATGGGCTACTAATGCAAGGATCAATAATCTCGAGGACGTTGTTGGCCATTAAAGTCTAAAAAATAAATGAAAATAATACAAAATAAAAATTTTAAAATTTTTCTCTGATTTAACTATCAAACATTTTTTCCTTTCTGTATGATCCTTTTAAGCTTTAATTTGTAAAGCCAGTATATCAAATAAAGTATATACCTTGAAAAACTGTTCTCTTCCTTGTGGACCAGTGGGCTGAAGAGAATGTGCAAAAGAACAGAATTCCTTCAAAAAGTTCGTCAAATCCCTTTGTGTATCTGGAGTGATGTCTGGATTTCGAAGACCTTCAAAGAGCTTTTGCATCAAGTTCTTGTCATTCTAAAGCAATGTTTTTAATTTAAAAATATTCATTCAAACCAAAAGAGAATTAACAATCTCTGCACGCATAAAGAAAAGATGACTGCTCAAAACAGTCAAAAGATTTTCTTCAAATATTGATGGTGCAGGAAGACAAACATCCTTAAAACGATCATAAATTAAATTTCAAGCAGACAAATACCTGAACATATTGAAGCCGAAAAGTTTGATGAATCTTTGATTTCAATTCTTCAGAACTGATTGGCAAAACTTCCCTAAAACGAGAACGCTCCCAAAGAAAGTTTCTGTGCATTTTGGGTTCTGACGATGAGACATCATATTCTAACATTCCGACTATATTTCTGTAAATGTTTAATTTGTTATTTGAAAAAGGTAAAAAATTAAATTTATATTTATTGTCTAGAAAATCTACAAACTTAAAATATTTGTCTTCAACAAGTTCATTCAAAACAGCATTATTATTGAGAAGAAAGAGATTCTTTGCAATAGAAGCCATTTGTTGAAGAGCTTCTTTATTTTCCAAATCCTCACTGATAGAGAACATTTCACAAAGCTTTGGTATATAACTAAAAAAGGTTAGTTCTTTAAATTAAATTCAATGCCGGTTTAAAATCAAAGGGCCTTTTTCAGCCTTGTATTTTACAAAAATTCTTTCTCCGTGCAATAAAAATACAAAGAAATATTTACAATAAATAATTATTGTAAACTTTCCTAATCCCACACTAAAAAAGAACAAACCTGTTCTGAAGAATTGCATTGGCCATTTTCTCACGTTGACTATTAGCGAACATTGAATTTGAAAGAGCCTGCTCAAGTTCGCCAAGATTTTGTAAATTGCATGGCGGAACTCCTGTAGCATTAGAAACAACAGAAGTGCTAAAAAACAAAAATGAACTTTGAAAATATATAAAAGAATACCTGCTGTCGCTTGGAACATCCTGATCATCACATTCGTTATCCTCCTTAATTTTTATAATGTAAAGATAATTTAGGTTCTGAAAAATATAACCAGTTCAGTCTCAGCATCGGGGTCTCTGCCCTGTATTTTACAGATTTTTTCCCACAATTCTGTACAACCAGCCTTCTCCTGAAAACTCAACGCCAAATCCACCGACTCTGTTTCCGACCAAACAATTAAAGTGCCTTGCTGTTTTTGATAAGTAGTTTCTTGTAAAATTTTTGATTCCAATACATTACGTTCTTAAAAACCAAAATTTGTTAGAATTATAAAATTAAACAAGCCATTAGACTCCAATCGAACAACAATGCACCAAGTATTATTGCCTTCTGGCGAAGGAAGGCATGCAACATGCCCTGTACCTCGATCATCCCACGCACGTTGATCACAAAGAACATAAAGTTTTACGCGATTACGCGAACCCTATAAGAAGTTTGATAAAAATAGTTAAAAAAAGCAATCACTTACTCTAACAAAATCAACTTTTTCCAAAGCAGATGAAGGTTTTGTCAGTCCTTCAATAAGTTGAACTCCATCATTCTCTTCGCTTGCCTCAGTTTTATTGGATATATCATCATGAGTCATTTGTTTATTAGAATTTGCATTATTATCACCTTCATCAACAAGATTATTCGCATCAGCATTTTCCACTTCAATTTTTGAATCCATTAAATTGCCTGAAGATGTTGTAGAAACAACAGGTACCTCAGATTCCATTATAACTTATTCTACAAATAAAAAACAAACAATAATTAGCTCCAAAGCTTAAATCAAGATTTGTAGTTGCGTCAGAAAAGCCGAGATTGAGATTTACAAGACTGTAGAGGACAAAAACAACAAAAAGGCGCATGGC